GTATGTCAGCGCGGTGGCCTTCTCGCCAGACGGGCAGCTGATCGCGTCGGCATCTTGGGACGGCACAGTACGGTTGTGGGAGGCGGCGACAGGGACGTGTCGCAGCACGCTCGAAAGACTTCCCAAGGATATTAGACGTATCGATTTCTCGCCAGATGGCCAGGTGCTACACACGAACGAAGGCGATATTCCTCTGCCTCAAACCTCTGTTGTCACATCGCTCTTAAGGCCGCAGCCGCAGTCCTTCTATATCCTAGTGCAGGACCAGTGGATATTGCGCAACCAGCAACGCTTCCTGTGGCTTCCGCCGGAGTATCGATCAAGGTCAACCGCAGTACGCAAGGACATAGCCTGTCTAGGGCTTATATCTGGTCGTGTGGTTCTGCTCAGGATTTCCTAGCGTCGTGTATTAATCGAATTGCTTTACTATAAGCACAGTGCGTGCTTTACAGCGTGGGTATAAATAGTCACGATATAATACAGGTCTTGTCGTCAGTAATTTCCTTTGAGAACGACCTTCGCGTTCGAGTTTATCCGCTCGGACCGCCCGCTAGAGCTAAGCCATAGCCCTAACAACCGCTAGAAATAGATTGCGAAGACGATTACATGAAATTTGCAGGGCCGCTTAGCGCGAGCCGAGGTACTGATCACGACTGTGATCTTGCATCAACATGGGGGTTGCAGGCGCTATGAGGCTGGACGTAGCTCACCGCGCTATCACAAGGTTCCTAGGACATAACCGCAATATTCTAGAATTTTTAAGACACTACAAGCTTCTGTATAGTATCGTAGTAAAGCAACACTATTATATATTTGAGGGAACTCAAGTGTTGAAATGTGGGTTAGGTTCAAGAAAAAAGTTGAGGTTCTTTTGGTAGAGCTTGATAGAGGTAACTTTGCCAAGTATAACGGTACCTTCCACTAAGCTGTAGGTGCTGTGGTTGTAGCGCTATTCGCGGTCAAAGATATGGGGGTTGGTGGTGTAGTTCCTGTTATGGTAAGGTTGCTCCAAATGAATGAGCAAATGGGGGTAAGGGTTAGGAAAAAAGTTGTGGATATTTTCATTTAGTATTGTGGACCAAAGCTCTAAGAGTTCAGATCTGCCCTTATCTTGTCAATAGGTGTTGTGGTTGTGGAGTTATTGTTGTTTAAAGTGTATGGGTTGGTAGTCAATAGCCCAATCAGGTAAGGCTTGTTATCCAGGCGCACTAACCCAAAACGTATTTAATCAGCAATCCAACCAACACCGCACATTGCACCTGCACCTGCACTCAATAACAGTCACTGAGGCTGGCAATACATTGTTTGAGTTAGTAAAAGACATGTAGCATCTTGAGGAGCATATATTTCTTGACTGTGGGCCATGTCTTGGGTTATGACAGAGAATGTGCTTTTGGTGGAATCCACTAACCTAAAACGTATTTAATCAGCAATCCAACCAACACTGCACATTGCACCTGCACCTGCACTTAATAATAGTCACTGAGGCTGGCAATACATTGTTTGAGTTAGTACAAGACATGTAGCATCTTGAGGAGCATATACTTCTTGACTGTAGGCAGTGTCTTGGGTTATAACTGAGAAGGTGCTTTTGATAGAACCCACTAACCCAAAAGGTATTTAATCAGCAATCTAACCAAAACACATCTCAGAGATGTTCAATGAATAGGCAATTGGGGGTAAGGGTTAGGAAAAAAGTTGTTGACCTTTTCCGCTGATATTGTAGACCAAGACTCCAGGAGTTCAAACATGCCCTTGCCTTGTTATGAGGTGCTTTGGTTGTAGAGTTATTGCTGTCGAAAGGTGCAATCTTGGTGATTGACAGCCTAATTGGGTATA